AGACTTCTCAACGCCGACCAAGTCAACGCCGGACAACTTGACGCCCAGAACTTAGCGATTAAGCTCGTTTCCGGCCAGAGAAAACTCGATCTCAGCGCTGTCAATTATTTTATATTTACACATGATGTTTTTCATTTTAGCTCACGAAGAAAGTTTACATTAACGAGGCTACTCCATGGTTCCATTGACACAATTATGGTTCCATAGTGAAATTTGAAGCACACCCTCTCAGATACTCAACGACAGTGTAGGAATTAAAATTGTTCACTAACTCGAACAATTTCTTATCGATGTTGGCATACTTCTTACGCTTCGCTGGCGGTTGAGCACCACTCTCAAATCGAGCTAAGAGCATATCTCGGTGGTGCTGTACTTTCTTCAAACCATCGATGAAGCGCCATAAATTCGGGTGGCTAACTCCGAATTCGGTTTGGAGCCTCCTGTGCGCTGCTTCAGCATAATTGTTGGTTCTAGAATCACCCTCCAATGTACGCCAGTATACAGACCAAATACTGGATGAGAAGAGGGGATCCCGCCTGACAATGGACCCATCGGGAAGTATGTGAAGCAAAGAACCCACGTAATTATCTTCGAAGTACTTCAAGGCGGGCATCAGCTCCTGAGGAAGTGCGATGGCAAGCTCCGCAATAGCATTGTCGATGTGAACTGGCGGGACAAATGCAAGAGCGGTTATCATGCGGGCGCTCAGTGCGAAACTTGCCTCTGCTCTATACCTGCCAAGCAAATTGAGATCCCCGAGTTTTTTTTCAAATTCTGAACGAGATGGAACAGACAGCCGTGAATCTGGGCCTCAGGGAACGCGGCGATGAACGAGTTGATGAGACCCTTTTCATAATCCGTGGAAATGACAGCAGGATTGAACGATGGCCATGCTTGACAAATCAGTCCGATCATGCGCGCGTAAGTCGCTTGGCTTTTGTCCGGTAAAAGCGCGTAACATACAGGTATTACGAAGTTGTTCCGCTCTGCGAGGATTGCAACAATTTGGTAAAAACACGGAGGCGATAAAGAAAAGGTCCCGTCTACGTAAGCTTTGCGCGAGTAGCCAATCCAATCGCCTACGGCTTCACGTCCAAAGAGAAGTATTCTCCTCTGGTCTCCTTCTCCTGGAAGAATTGAAAACGATTCAATTTAATTGAAGAAGCACTCCTTCCATTTGACGAGTCGAATGATCAGAAAACCAAGGAAGATGATTTCCGCTCGTATTGCGGAGTATCTCACCGGTATCGCCGATGAGAAATTTTTCGAAGCTTCCTGGCTCTTTCTCGTACATTGTGTATTCGTCAGGTATCGAAATCGACGCCCGATCTTGCGGTGTCGCCATTGGTCGCATCGATTTTTTCCTAGCACGGTTAACTGATCTAGACAGCGTTTCGGAGCTGGGGAGCACAAACTTCGCCGCTTGCGTGGTCCTCTCGAAAACAGATTCGATTAGTTGCAGAGGGGTTTCTTGTGTCTCGAGAGCCTTTTTCTTCAAATACATTCGGCGAGCCATCACTTCGATCGCTGCCGGGTTCGGCTCGTCGCTATGTTTTCCGTGCGTTTTCACCACTTCTCCAGTCGACAAGGACGTATGAAGTCGAGCTCTGCAAGCACCGAGGAACTGACACCTCCAGAACTGTTTCTCTCCATTTTTGCTGACTCCGTCCTGGACGTAAACGTACCCTTCGTGGGCCCGTTTCCGCTTGCCGCGCTGGGTGTGCAATTCTTCACCGTTTACGTTCATAGTTGAAGATGATGTTACCGATTACCAGCGGTTCGAACGTAAGACAGAACGCATGGGGCTCGAATCACTCGAAATGTGACGACGCGACGTCGCAGTCGGAAGACAGACACATGCAACATGCAGTAATACATGCGTGATCGGCGCAGCGACATCACTCGAGCCTTGACTCCTATTCTGGCGTACAGTTTATGGAATCGGGTTTTTACGGAATGCCGGTGCATTCTCGGCGATGAGTTGTCAAACGTTAGGTTGCCGGGCGTTAAGTTTTCTCGGCGTTGGGTTGTCTCGGCGTTGAGTTGTTCGGCGTTAAGTTGTTCTCACGCTAAGTTGTCCGGCGTTCAAATGTCGGCGTTCAGATGTCTGCGTTGAGTTATCCGGCGTTGAGTTGTCTGTGTCCGCGAGAGAACGTGGGGGGAAGGCTTTTTGGAGGGGGATGCCAGATTCGCGGAAGATTATCGCATTGAAATTACGCAAACAGTCTGAGACTTATTAGGAAGGGTCTGGGACTTCTTTAGGGCTGCCAACGTGTGGCTCAGACCCTCTTCGAAGAGCCGAAACTTAGCTGGAAAAAAACTACGGGACGGGCACGGCTAGTCTTCTCTATATATGAAAATGGAAGTGTGTCTGTTTGTCCGGTTGTGGGAAACCGATGGGAAATGTCTATCGGCGGCAACTTCCGCCGCCATGTACGACCGGCAGGACTTTGAGGCGGGCATGCAATCGGCCGGTCCCAACAAACAAGCAAACAGAGAAGCACAGGTGATGAAGTACCAGTGACGAGATGCCATACTGCCTTCCTCTACCGTCACGAGCGAGAGCTTCTTTCTGAACTCGAGCTAGTATTTCACTAGCGAGAGGATGGAATCGAGGAATTTTCATAATTTCAACGAACGGCGTGATCTTGAAGATAATTTGAGTTCAGGCTCTTCCGAAGATTCGATGGATGATTTATGCGAGACTTGATCTTCTGCCACATCTTTCTTTCTTGTTTTCCCCCTATCCCTGTCGAAGAATTCGATAACATCGACATTCGTGACGAGCGCGAAGGTTGAAAGATTCGCGCGACCGCCGTCCGCATCAGCCTTAGAATAACTCTTACCTTTATTGTTCCTTTCCCCGATATGAGTCAAGCCGAAATTGTTGAGAGGACGTGCTGAGCAGGAATGATAAAAACTCCAACGAGTCTTCCTCGGACGATGATCTGTCTCGCAGAAATGCTACCTTTCCTAAGTTGAATCCCTGAGACGTGGTATTCGCGATGCCCGTGAGTGCATGAGATTCGTCGGTCATCAAGAATGTGTGCCTGTTGTACGAGACAAATAAAGCTGCCATACGGAACATTGAGTCGCGGAGGTGCAAACGAGGAAGCATACGGAGAAATGAAGCAGAGGAGAAACCGACGGAAGGAAACCCAGGTTGTGCTGAAGCGACGCCAACTACCTCCTACCCACATATCGGTCAACAACGATGGAATTGACCGAAGTCGTATGATAAAAATCCGTCTCGGAGGTCGAGCTAAACGTCGGTGTGCTCTCCGTTCCAAGAGATGTTCTTTCCGTCATTGCGATCCGCATAGCTTCAGCTTGGGTCATGCTTACATATGCTTACTCTCGTCGGCAAACTGGGAATTCAGAGACTCCCCGGCCTGAGGCCGAAGCTCTCGGGGAGTCCTCTGGCTCGAACAACGCTCCCTGGCTCATACCCCTATAATTGCTGTGGACTCCACGCAGAGTTCAAACCTCGGGCAGGAACGGCGACTCGGATAATGCGTTACCGCGTCCGACTCTCCGATCCGGTATTCCTCCCACTTCACTATTCCTATAGGACGGGTGTCATGGAAGGCATACTCCACATTCAAAGGGAACACTCTCCCTACACTCCCGACTTGTGGGAATCAAGCGATAATCGGCTGAAACGATCACGATGAGCCTCTGTGACGCGGATCAGCACAACTTTTCTCAAATCCTGTCTGGGCAAGATCAGCGCAATAGCTCATCTCCACCCGCGGCGAAGTTTCAAAAATAATTGTAAACAAACATGGCGACGCCCTCATCATCTGGAGCGGCGGTGCGCGAGTTCGACTTAGTGATTTGAGACCTTCGAGAGTTCTTCGAAGATCGGAGGTGGTATCAGTGCGACGAGCCACCAATGTCTGAGAAGCTATACAGACTGTTTCTGAATCTATTACCGAAATACCGCGTCGATCCCGAGCGAAAAGCTAGATGTTTGGGTGAATTGGTTCGGAGAAACGTCTCTCAAGCTTTTCCAGAAGGAGGGAGAACTGTTCTCCCTGATATCAAACGCTGTGAGTCCAGGGCAGCTCTCGTATGGCCCAGAGTCCGCTCGTGGTACTTCGCAGGCGGCAGAAAGATACTCCCCGAAATTCCTTCAAGCACTGCACGACGCGGAGACTCCTCTAACTCGTGCCGCATCATTCACAGGGGAGGCAAATTATGCTGCTCTGGAGGTTATAGCTAATGACGTACATAAGAAAGCATTCGCAAGGACGCACATCAGTACGGCGACCGGTCTCTCTGTAGAGCAGGTTTCCGGAGTCGTTTCCGGTTAGTTCAATCGAGAGGAACTTCAATATCCATTCTGCGCCGCATTATCTTGCTCTGACGGGACGTGCATCCA